TGGTGGTTCTCTCTTGGGAGCCTTTGGTGGCCTCATGAGCTTCTTTGAGGCCGTGTTCGGGCGATTTGGGGGCCCTCTTGGGCTGTCTTAGAGCCCCCTGAAGGCCTTTTCAGGCGTGGCCTCGTGGGCCTTCTGGTTGGGAGCCTCTGGGCCGTCTTGAGGCCGTCTTGCGCTGTTTTGGGGCTCACCTGCGCCTCTTCGGCCTCAAGGTGGACTTCGACTTCCTGCGAAAGCATCTACGGGCACAACGATGGCCTCAACGAGGTCGTGAAGATAGGGACATCATCAACTGGGCCCGGAAGGAGCCAAAGGAATTCGCAAAACGCGGTCAAGGCAGCCGTTAAGTTTTACATCCTATCAACGAGTGATCTCGATAAGAAGGAGAAGTTCGCCAAAGAGATCGACGTCGAGGACGGAAGGCCTCAACAAGCTCAAATGGATGATGGCCAGCCTCAGAACAAGTTCGCACGCTAGTTATATCTGCGACCGCGTCACCAACTCCAAGCAGGGAGTGGCCGCCCACGTGGGCAGAGACCACAAGAACGCCTTCCATCCACGACGGTGGGCAAAAAAAACTGCTTGCCGCTGTTCCCAGATGGAGGCCCACGGCTTCCCGCGCCTGATCAAGCACCTTAGCGTCTCCCACGCATGTCGGAAGTCCTGGTACACATGGCACACCATGACTGCGGACCCGCTGGCCGCAAAGCAGATCGAGGAGAGCGACAACTTGTACACCGGCGCCGTCAAGAACAACAGAAAGGCTGAGAGACCCGATTTGTTCAACGATATTCCAGCTTACAAGACTGAAGTCACGCCGCTCCCCCTGCTTGAGACATCACCCATGGAGCCAGCAGTAGTTGCTGAAGTCCCGAACCTCCGCGAAGCCAAAACGCGCCCATCACCAGCTCAAGCTGCATCGAGACCAGCGGTGCTATACATGACCGGGTACCCTGCGGGAGTTAATAAACTCATGACTCGCATTTCCAATGATAATGTATCCTGAATGGGCGGGCTCGGCCACATCGCCATCGACACCAGCGCCGAGAACGACGACAGCACCGACGGTGACAAGCTCGATCTGATCCGCGGGTACATCGACAATGGTATCGCAGCCGCTCTGTATATGTATAATTGCCTGGCAGAACTTGGCATTCGGCCGACTCAACTGACACGGAGCACAATGGCACCATTCAGCGCAGGCATGCTGAGTACATGTGGGAAGGCTAGACCTTACCAAGAAGCAAGCTAACACCATCCACCAGGCCAACGACATCTTGAGGAACCTCACCCGGGCCATCCGACATGCCAAGTCAAGGACCATCCCCACGATAATCGTTCACCGCAGCGAGGCCAGCGACATCGCCAGGGGCTTCACCGCATGGCAGCTGCCAGAACTTACTCGGTCACGAGTTCAGTCCGACAGCACGCTGGCGAATGGCGACCACCCTGTGGTCGGCAAGATCTCTGCGCTCATCAAGGGAACGACCGCCGACGCGGGACCAACACGCAACACCGACATCAGCCATCCTGACTACCTCGGGTACATATCCGAACAGGTCGAACACTTGATCATCGAGCGATGGGGAATGAGAGTAGCGGCCGCGCCCCCAGATGGCCCAGACCGGCTCCAGCTCACAATCGACCAGCACGTCGAGCACAGCACCGACGACCTGCTCTACGGCAGCACCGACGACCAGCACAGTGGAAGTGCCGAGCTGCTTCGCCCGCGCAGCGCCGCAGCGCCGCTGGCGCCGGGGGGGGCACTGCATGGCAGCAAAGGCGGCCTCGCCGACAGTAGCGGCTCACCGCAGAGAGAAGGCGCGCTGACCGCCGCAATCAGCGCGCAGGCCCACAATAGTGGACCAGAGACACTGAGCCCAGCACCCACCAGGCGGTCGCCAGCAGCGCCGCCAAGGACGGGAACACACCCTGGTCAGAAAGGCCCCTTCGGAGGCCGAGAGGGGAAGAGATGCACACCCGGTACTTAGCAGGGGCGTTCGGCCCGCACGCGAGGCGCCCGCTTCGGAGGCCGTCCGAGACCCTGCTTCCTCGGGCACCTCCTCGAGAGCCCTGGAGGCCTTTCCTCCCCCTTTTCCTGCGGGGTCTCGGGGCCCCGCGCGGCCTGGTTTGTTTCGCCCCCCCCGCGCTCGCCCCTCCTTCGCGGCTCCCCTGAAGCACCCGAAGCACTCATCCATCTCCTCGAACTTGGGGGTATTGTGCCTCTGCCTTTCGGCAATCTGCGCCATGGCCCCCCGCGCCACCGCCCCTGCTCGTCGCCACTGCGAGGTGGAGGAGATCGACCCGATTGGGGTGGTGGCGGGGGGCGCCCACGGGCTCTCGCGGGATCGCTCTCGGCCGTTCGCGGGGCCCCTGGGTGCCCCTGCCCGCCCCTTCCCTCCCGAGGGCCCTCGAGGCGTCTGCCTTTCCTCGTGCCACAAGGGGGTTCGCAGAGTCGGAGAAAAGAGACGCACGCAGACGCAGGCCCGTCCAAGTTGACTCCAGCTGCGGCCAAACAGGAAAACTCACCAGCCTGAGACGACTGCGGAAAGTGGGCCCACACGGGCCCAAAATCTCCGGCCAGCATGTGGCCTTGCTCCGACATCAGAACGAAGGCCCAGCCCGCTCTGGACAGCTCAAAGATTTTGGACTGGAAAAAGCTACCGCCCAGGAAAAGATTGCCTTCGAATCGAACCTGCTCGGGCCTAGGATACTCCAACCCCGAACCCAGGACACACTGCTCGAAGAACTCAACCTGAACTCCATCCATGCCCTGCTGACTGACAGGAGGCGGAACATAGTCTCCTGGATGAGCAGAGGCACCAGTCAGAAAGTTGACCAAGTCGGCTGAATTATTGTCGCACACTTCGCGAGCCCAGGAAATCACCTCCACCCCAACAAGCTCGACCCGTTCCTCATGACATACCAGAAATTCCCATGGACGATAAAAAAAAGAGTCTACCTTAGCATGGCAAAGCGGGCACAGCGGGCTGAGTTGGTAGCCATACCTTAGTGCCCGAGAGTTGGTCCACAAGGCATTGCACGAGAGAGCTCGCACCGAGCCCTTTCCCATGCCGAGTTTTTGCGAGCGGAGCCCAGCCATGACGACATCGAAGCAGAGGCGATTCGATCCATCAAAGTCGGGGGGAGATCGGATCGGGGGCCAACTCCACGGCAGGCTCGTCCAAGCCTTGGGCAGGCCCAGGTGGAGGCACGCCGACTCCACAGAAAAGATCGCCGTCCACTAGCTTACCGCACGCCGCTCTCTCGAGCTGGCGGAGCACAGCTTGGTGTAACAGCACATTAAAAAGGGCCGGCGAGAGCTGCGTGCACGAGAGCTCGCGACCCATGCCGTCTATGAAGACATCCATGTTCTTCATATCCCAGCCGATCCGTCTGAAACTTAAATACATAGCGCTTGTGGGCCCCGAAACGCTCCTCCAAGCAACTGCGTTCTGGCGACTCGCAAAAAAACCTTCCCAAGAAAACGAATGGTGGTCCAATCCAGAGTCCCAGGACAAGCATTGGTCCTGAGAAGCCACTGCTCCTTCACGTATCGCAACTCTGGTGCAACCGAGCCATACCAGACTGGGTCGCCCTCAAGAAAAGAAGGCACCGTTAAAGACCGACGGGCAACATCAGGCTTGATAGCGCTCGCAGCGACGCGCCTGAGACTATGCACCTCACCGTCTGTCAGGCCCTGGACTTCACTGCCAAAAATGCACCCTGGCATCGGTCCCGAGGTAAACACTCTGATAGCTTCCCTCCCAAAGTGAGACCTCAACCGCTTCAACCGTTTGACTTTGCGATCAGCTTGCCCTTCCTCTCCTTGCGCTTCTTCATCCTTCCTTTCCCAGCTCAAAAACTCCTACCCGCCGTGTCATCACAGCCGAGGTTGACTGCGGATGCATCCACCATTCCGAAAGGGCCGAGGTCGGCCTCCAGCTGCTGGCCCAGAGTGTCGCAAGAGCACACCAGAGCAGCCTTGTCGAGAGCCACGAGCCCTCCCAGCATCTGCCTAATACCAACCAGGAGCAAAGAGGCCATGTTCACGATAGAAGACCTGACGCACGAACGAGGGCCAATCGCCGAGATGCTGGCATCGTCGATGTAGGCGTCGAACGACGAAAACTCCGATGACTCACGATCACTGCGGTGCAAGTTGACCGAGCGAGGGACCGTGTCGAGAGCATCTAGAGCATGGACCCTGATCAACGTAGCAGCCATGCTGCATCCAGCGATAACGCCGTGAGTGGCCCTCAAGGGGGGAGATGGAGGAGGAGGAGAAGGAGGAGGAGGAGGAGGGGAAGGAGGAGGAGGAGGAGGAAGAGGAGGAAGAGGAGGAGGAGAAAGATGAGGAAGACGAGAAGCAGGAGGAGGAGGACGAGGAGGAGGAGGAGGAGCAGGAGGAGAAGGAGGAGGAAGAAGAGGAGGAGGAGGAGGAAGAGGAGAAGGAATGAGAGGGGGGCGGAGGAAGAAATGGCAAACAGACGCGGACAAGGGTGGGGAGGGAGAGGGGGGGGCAGCGGCAGGGGCAGCTGCACGCAGGCGAGCGACTCGGGGGCGGGCGGGAGAAGCAGTCGGCGGCTATCAGCAATCGCCAAACGTCCTCCAGGCGGCCACCGTGTTCATGACTGTAACCCTTTTCGAGGCCATGCCCTTCACCCCCTCGTGGTCAAGATCATTCCCCGCTCCAGGCGCCCTCGCGTGCTCTTCGGTCAATGAGGAGATAAGGTCGTCTGGGTCCGTTTGCATCGAAGGCCGTCCCAACGTTTCCGTATTCGGACCCGCCGTTTGCCCGGCCTGGGGCGCCCAATTTCTCCGTCTTGCTCCCCCCACCCTGCTTTTAACAGCGTCCCTCCTGTCTATCGTCCTACAGTTGCCGCTGCCCGAAGGTACACGGACGCAGGACAAAGAGTTGAGGCGAAGCGAAGCAAACCATCAAATCATGTGTAGATGTATATTTACATATGTATATATATACTGTCGTATAGAAATCATGCATGGGTGCTGCTCCTCCTTCATCTTCCATGTCTCGCGCAATACTTGACTGCCAGGCGCCAACGGGAGGCGGGGAAGGGCGGCGGCCGGAGCGGGGGGCTCGCCACACCCGGGGTGCTCCTTCTGGAGGCCTTTCTGGAGTCACTCGCTCCACTCATGCGTCGATGCTGCGTCGCATTCGAGTCGACCTTGAGCCGAACAGACCCATTAGGTGGGCCCCAGGAAGGTCCCCAAAGCGAGCACCTGGCACACCCTGTGGAGGCAACTCCTGGTAGAAGTTGCTGTGTTGCTCCGTGGCAGCGGCCAAGGAGCAGTCAAGCCCGCGCCGCCACTTAGGCGCCCGACGGCCTGGCCCAGAGGCTCGAGGCCGCCGCCGTGCACACCATGATAAGGAGCCGATGCGGCTAACAAAATGTAGTTGAACAGCTTGTCCTACCACAAGAATTTAGAGGAACAGCAAGATGCATACACATAAACTTTCGGAGGTCCACGAGGAGTTCTTGAATCGTTGCTGGGCCCACCTGGCGGCGCCTCTGGCGCCGCACCTGGCGCGCTCCGCGCGGCAGGCAAGAGGGTCAAGCGCCGATCCAAGAGATCCGCGCGGACCTCCGAAAGTTGATGTCGATGCCGTTTGTGTTTCCTCGATCGTCTTCAGAAAAGGAACCTGGGTTAATGTATAGGGACTTGGGTTAAAGTGTTGAACCACAGCTTGCTTTGAAAACAGCCGTTGCACCCCAACGCCAGTCTATGAGCGCGGGGTGCAGGAGCGGCAGAAGGAAAAAGAGAAGGAAGGAGGGTTAAAAGGTAAGTCTTGGGAAGTCTTCGTAAGAACGATTACAAACTACTACGTCCGAGTAGTAGGCAAGTAAGCCAGATCAAGCCGGAATAGGCCCAGGCTTAAGCCAGATCAAGCCAGATCAAGCCCGATCAAGCGGGATGAACCAGGTTGGTACTAGGTCAGGCCAGCTTTCGAGTTGCATCCTAAGGAAGGGGAGGAAGAATCCAAAAAGGGTTGGGGTCATGCTTGACAGAAGCAGCGCCCTGCACCACTGGAGCTAGACCAAAGTCGCTCTGCTCTCCACTGCCACCGCGCGGTTCACGATCAACTCGTCGTTGATCTCTCTCAGGTTCGCGTCGATACGGTTGATCTTGGCAGTCAGATTCATGCTGGCGGCAGGACCCTTGAGCCTCGCGGTGCCTTCGATGAGCTCGCTCGCGGTGAGCCGACCGTCGTTTGAGTCGTCCAGCTGCTCGAACAGTAAATGAGCGTCTTCCGCGTGGATCTCCTGCGAAAACAGCCAGTTTTGAACGTAATCGTCCTTGCAGATGTCGATCCACTCTTCCTTAGATAACCTGCCGTCCCCATTCTTATCTGCCTGCTCGAAGAGGCGCTGCATCTTGTCACAGTGGGTTCTCTGCCTGCGCATCGCCTGTCGGACCATCACGGCATTGTCCACCGAGGCGACCCTGAACGTTTCAGATATGAAGATGCCGTTTACGATTCCTACGACGGCGAATCCCAGAATCATCTTATGAAGCACAGCATAGATTATGAATAATTCGCTGACGTTCTCGATGAGTACCCTGCAAGCAACGGGCCAATTTGCAAGAGTGATCTCGAACATAGTGAGAAATGCGCGCGTGAAGCTTCCAAAATATGTAAACACCTCGACTTGGTTCTTCGCCAAATCCGGGCTGGTATCGAAGTACACAGCGCGCAGGAACTGGTTCATCAGAAGTGCTAGCAGAAAGTGTATCAAGACCAACATCATGAAAGACCAGAATAATATAGATATGCTACCCTGGAGCGCCGATGTCATGAGGTACAGAGAGTCGAAGCTGCTATTCATGTTCTTGAGGAGCCGCAAGAGCCGGCACAATCGCACTAAACGAGCGAGCCGTAAGATCTGAGCGTTGACTAACGACCTGGCAACCTTGCCCGCCCACCAGACTAGGACAATGAACAGGTCAAACCAATTCCACACATCCCTCGCAAATGAGGTGCGCAGAGCTGCAATCGTGAAGATGATCTCGACAGTGAAAAAGATGCCAAACAGCCAGTTGAGCACAACGAACGCAGTTCGTGCAGTCGGCCACATAGCGTCAGCAGAACCTGATGCACTAGCATGTCCTGTCCAGATAGCCAAATCGTAGCCCTCGTACTGCGCCTCTGCTGCAATTATTACGCCATTCAATACGATCACCAAGGATATGAAGACCTCCGTCCTGGGATTATGCGCTACTTGCCACAGCACGGCTTTCTCCGCGAGCTTCCTCTGCTTATCCATCCGCGCACCCCAAGTGCCGCTCAACCCCCGTCCGATGCGCAGAGCCCGCACCGCAAGCTCGCTCGAGATCCTCGAATGCTGAGATGAGCTCAGGCTCTGCCCGCCGCTCTGCCAACTTCCCCGCCTAGCGGGCGTTGGCTCGACGGCGCCTCTCGGGTATTGCTGCAGGTGTCCCTGGCCCCAATCGAAAAACCCAGATGGCCTCCAGAGCACCCCACACGAGGCCCCGAGAGCCCCAGGGGCTCCAAAAAAGCTCGGAAAAAACTGGGGGCACACTGGGACAGGACCAGTTCTAGCAACGCCCGGACCGAAAAGAAAAACATGTGAGTTTTCGGGAATCCACGCGGACCTCCGAAAGCTTAACTATGCTCACGGCGTTTCTCCAATCGTTGAGGTCTGGGGCTACTCAAGGTGCCCCTGGCCCAAGGCACCCCCAGCGTTTCGCTGAATTTTGAACCCCTGGGGCCCTCTTGGGCCTCGTGAGGGATGCTCTGGAGGCCGTGGGGGCCTCCATGGAAATCCTGGGGGCACCTTGGGCCACGGGCACTCCTGGCAACACCCGACGCGCCTTGGAGCGAGGAGCTGGATGCTGGAGACGGACAATCGTCGAGGGTGGCTGGCGGTCTCTCTGGCCCCGGCGCGGGGAGCTCCAGCGGAGGAGCCGCCGCCAGCGGCCGATCCCCGGCGCAGCCGCTGCGCGGCGGGCACGCCTGGGCCGCCGCCGCCGCCAGCTCGGCGCGCAGCAGCTGCACCTCCCCCTGCAGCAGGCCGACCTCCGCGTCGTGCGCCTGGGCCGCCTGCTGGAGCAGCCTTTGGAAGCTGCCGCCCTCCTCGGGCGACCAGGTCTGCACAGATCCACCGGTCCTGGCCAGGCTCCAGGCCCCCCGCGACGGACGGTTTTTGTTACTTCCAGCCTCTCGGGGCCCTCGCCGGCCCCGGGGAGCGTCAAAAAGCGAGTCAGCATGGAGAACCGCTCCTGGGGAACGGGTCTCGCTGTGAGAAAAAAACATGACGTCGGGGGTCTGGGACCTGGGCCCAGGATCGGTGTGCACGCCTCCCTGGCGTGCGCATGTACCCCTCCTGGGGTCAGGATGAGCCCTGTGTATAGATCTCGTCGCCCTATCTCCTCTCCGCCGCCGCCGCCGCCCATCGCCGCGGCCGCAGCGCGGGGCAGGGGCATTGACAGCGCTGTCTCCGACCCACGTGGCGGCATGCACGCGATCTCTGCGGACGTCGCGGCCGCGCCCGCCGCGCGCGCCGCAGCGGGCGCGCGCGGGCCCCCCCCGCAGAGCGCGGGCGGAGGGGGCCCCGCGGTGCCGCTGGCCGCGCAGGCGCGCCGCCGCAGAGGCTCGGGTGTTGCTACAGGTGCCCCTGGGCCCTGGGCCAAGGTGTCCCCAGCCTCCCTCGCCCTGTCCTGCGTCACCCAACCTCGCGCATCGCGCCTCGCGCCCCGCGGTGCGCGACGCGCGGTTGTCTTCCCGCCCCCAGATGCCACCTTGGTGAAGCTTTCTGGCCGAGGCCGCGACGCGCGCAGCGCGATTCTCTTCGCGCCCGTGGGGGGGGGGGATGGGGGGCGACCTGGCTCTCGGAGCCCCCTGGGGCCCTCTGGGCCTCGCGAGGAGTGCTCTGGAGGCCACCTGCGCCCCCCGGGGCATCCTGGAAACACTTCTTGATCCGCGGGTCGAGAGCGCACCTCTTCCGGTCGAAGATGAGCGGGCCGCGCGAGGCTTGAATTAGGCAGAGATGGGGGAGGAAAAGGGCATCCTGGAAACACCCCGGGCCAGGGACCCCCGCGGGAACACTCGAGAAGGCAGCCGAGGGGAGAAAGCGGACCCGCGAGCGCGGGCTGCCCGGGCGGGAGCTGCTCGGGCCACGCAGAGATAGACTGGCTGCAGCCCTCGCTCGGCAAATCCGCCGATCCGGCGCGTGAGTTTCTGAGAGCGTGGGCTTGAGCTCGCTCAAGTCTCGCTCTGCAGAGGGGGGGGAGGCGCAAACGACGAAGGAATCGACACGCAAGGCCTCCCCAATGCCGGGACCGCCCCCCCCCCCTGCACCTTCCTCTCCGGCGCCCCCCCTCTCTTCCTGCACCCCCCCCATTCCCCTGCAATCTCCTCTCCGCCCCCCCCCCCTCTTCTTGCACCTCCCCCCCCCGCCTCTGCACCTCCTCGTTCCCCCAGCTTCCCCCCCCCCCTGCACTGCGCCCTGGACAGGAGAGAGGGGGGGAGGAGGGCAGGGGAAAGGAGAGATGGGGGGGGACAGGAGAGTGGCGGGGGGGGGACAGGAGAGAGGAAGGGGGGGTGGACAGGAGAGAGGGGGGGGGGGGCAAGCTATGTGCGCTCGCGTCAGATCTGACGTCCTACCCCTCCCTCCCAGCCCTTACCATGGCACTGATTTTGTCTATCCGCGGACGCGTGTCGTAGCGGCCCTGTGGCTCCGCGCGCGCGTGCGTAATGGGTGGTGGTGCGCGTGCGTGCGTGCGTGTGTGCGTGGTTGTGGTTGTGGTTGTGGTTGTGGTTGTGGTTATGGTGGTGGTGGTGGTGGTGGTGGTGGTGGTGGTGGTGGTGGTGGTGGTGGTGGTGGTGGTGGTGGTGGTGGTGGTGGTGGTGGTGGTGGTGGTGGTGGTGGTGGTGGTGGTGGTGGTGGTGGTGGTGGTGGTGGTGGTGGTGGTGGTGTGGTGGTGGTGGTGGTGGTGGTGGTGGTGGTGGTGGTGGTGGTGGTGGTGGTGGTGGTGGTGGTGGTGGTGGTGGTGGTGGTGGTGGTGGTGGTGGTGGTGGTGGTGGTGTGTGTGCGTGTGTGCGCGTATGCTGTGGTGTGACGTGGTGTGGCTTCTTGGTGGTTTGGTGGTGGGCCAGGTGCGTGCGTGCGTGATGGCGGTGGTGGTGGTGACGGTGGTGGTGGTGTGTGTGCGTGTGTGTGTGCGTGCGTGTGTATGTGTGTGTGCGTGCGTGTGTCTGTGTGCGCGCGCGTGTGATGTGGTGTGACGCGGTGTAGCGTGGTGGTAGTGGGTGGGGTAGTGGGGGTGGGGGTGGCAGTGCGCGGTGGTGGTGCGCGTGCGTGCGTGCGTGCGTGCGTTGGTGGGTGGAAGTGGCGGTGGGCGGGGCGGGGCGCGGTGCGGTGGTGGCGGGCGGATGGGCGCGCGAGAAAGAGGCCCTCGCTGGGGCGAGAACGCCATCCTGAACGACGGAGGCAAAACACGGATCCGAAAATGAGGCCCACGCTGCAGCGGGAGCACGATTCGGAACGAGCGGAAGCCCGGAAATGAGGCCGGCGCCTCAGCGAGAACAGCATTTTGAAAAAAAAACTAGCGAAAACCCAACTCCGGGAAGTCCTGTGTGTGTAAAGAACAATACGCGGAGGGGTGCCCGCCATCTTCGGCACGCCATGAGGGGATGGAGGAGAGTGTATTCATATTGAATAATTGTGGAGGGGGGGGGGTGGACAGGAGAGAGGGGAGGGAGGGGGGACAGGAGAGAGGGGGGGGGAAAGGAGAGAGGAGGGGGTGGGGGACACGAGAGAAGGGGGTGGAGGGGGGGGGAAGGAGAGAGGAGGGGTTTGGGGACAGGAGAGGGGGGGGGGAGGGAGGGGGAAAGGAGAGGGGGAGGGGGCAAGCTAGGTGCGCGCGCGCGTCATATCTGACGTCCTACCCCTCCCTCCCATCCCTTACCATGGCGCTGATTTTCTCTATCCGCGGACTAGTGGGTGGTGGTGCGCGTGCGTGCGTGCGTGCGTGTGTGCGTGGTTGTGGTGGTGGTGGTGGTGGTGGTGGTGGTGGTGGTGGTGGTGGGTGGTGGTGGTGGTGGTGGTGGTGGTGGTGGTGGTGGTGGTGGTGGTGGTGGTGGTGGTGGTGTGTGTGTGTGTGCGTGTGTGCGCGTGTGCTGTGGCATGGCACGGGAAATGACGCCAACGCTGCAGCGGGAGCACGAGTCGAAACGGCGGAAGCGCGGAAATGAGGCCAGCGCTGCAGCGGGAGCACGATTCGGAACGAGCGGAAGCACGGAAATGAGGCCAGCGCTGCAGCGGGAGCACGATTCGGAACGAGCGGGGCCCGAAAATGAGGCCGGCGCCTTGGCGAGAGCAGCATTTTGAAAAAAAACACAAGCGCAAACCCGTTTCCCGGGAATCCTGTGTGTAAAAAACAATACGCGGGGGGGTGTCGGATATCTTCGGGACGCCATCAGGGGAAGTGGGAGAGTATTCTCATATTGTGTAATTGTAGAGGGGGCGGGGGGACAGGAGAGGGGGGGGGACAGGAGAGGGGGGGAGAGAAAGGGGGGGGGGACAGGAGAGAGGGGGGGGGACAGGAGAGAGGGGGGAGGGGGAAGGGAAAGGAGAGAGGGGGGGGAGGGGACAGGAGAAAGGGGGGGGGGACAGGAGAGAGGAGGTGGGTTGGGGGGGGGGCCGGGATCATCACCATCTCCATCACCATCACCATCACCATCGTCACATCACCATCATCATCATCATCATCATCATCATCATCCGGAGCGCCCCAGATCGGCGGCACTGGCCGGAGGCCACTACAATCACAACCAACTCCGGCAGTCTTGGGAGTCTCGAGGGACGTCTCGGAGGCCCCAGGGGTCGGCCCGAGGTGCTGGAATCGGCTGAGTTATATCGGCCGTGATCTCAATATTCTCGCCGCATCGGTCGCAAAAGCGTCCAGGCCGGCCAAAGGAGCTCCCAAGACCAGTCCGAGATGGACCAAGAGGCCCCATGAGGGGCCCAAGAGGCCCCAAAGAAGGCCCCGGGAGGGGCTCGAAAAACCCGCCACCGTCGCACCACTGGAATGGAGGCCAACACCTCCCCCCATGACCCCAAGACTCAAGAGGCCTACAGGAGGCCCCGAGACGTACCCAAGTGGGCCGCAAATGCCCCTTAGGAGCCCGCCAAGAAACCCCCAGGAGCCACCCATATTTCCCCAGGGCCTCTGGAACACTTCCCTGGCGCAGTGGCGGGATGGAACGACGACCAGTAGATAAATCGTCCTCGCATCCAAGGCACCACTGCCCGTTGCCCCCGTCACCCCTGCGCCTGTTGCGCCCAAGCTGTCAAATTCTAGGATCGTCGGAACCAGCCGCACTGAAGTGGTTCAACATCGCTTCAACTACTTAGTGGGAGAGCCTTGAGGCCCACCGCGTGGCCTCTGGCACGCAGGTTCTGCCTCTCAGTCTGTCTGTCCGCATCCGAATGCGTCGTTGCTCGTTGGTCAAATGGCTCCTGGGTCGGCAAAACGACCGTCGCCGCCACTCGCACGACTGCCCGACCCTGTCCAGTTTGTCCAGTTGTTCCTCATCCTCCTCCTCCTATTATGATTGCTCTGTTTATTAGTATTAGTATGCTTATTGTTCGCATTCGTCTTCTTATCAGTATTCGTATTAGTCTTACTAGATTGTTCATTATCAGTATGTGTCCTCTTCGTCTTATTGCGATTCGCCTTCGTCTCCTTATTCATGTTAATGTTAGTAGTATTGTGTTAGCGTTAGTACTAATAGTATTAGTACTGATAACAGTAATATGAGTGGTAGTAGTCTTCTTGTTAGTAGTACTAGTATCACTATTCGACTTCCTAATAGTACCCATATTAGTATTACAAGTGTTGATAATATGCTTAAACGTCTTAGTATGGCTAATGTTAGTGTTAGTATTGTGTTTAGTGTTGTTCGTTTTGTCAGTATCATCAATGTTGTTTGTCTTATAACTCAGATTATTGTTCAGAGTCGTATTAATGACAGCCATACTCTTCTCATTACTATGATCCGTAGCATTACTCTCCATCATCATCAGCATCATAATCATAGTCAGCATCATTAGCATCATCAGCCTCGTCATCATCATCAGCAGCAGCAACATCATCATCATCAACAGCATCATCATCATCAGCAGCAGCAGCACCGTCAGCATCATCATCCTTATAATCGTCATCATCGCCACCACAACCATCATCAACATATCGCCCGCCTTCCAACCCCGCCTGCTTCGCCTCAACCTCCGACGACCATCCATCAAATTCGTGCTCCTGTTCCTATGTTTCCTCCTCCTCCTCACTCTCCAACTCCTCCTCCTCCTCTTCTTCCTCCTCATCCTCCTCCTCCTCTTCCTCCTCCGCCTCCAACTCCTCCTCCTCCTCCTCATGTTCATCCTCCTCTTCCTCCACCTGCACCGATCCATCATCGTTGTCACCTTCCTTATGCTCATCACCACCTCCATCACCATCACCATCACCATCATCATCGTCGTCATCATCACCATCATCATCGCCAGCACCATCATCATCAT